CGCCAGGTCCGTACGACGTACTGAGCTGGCCCGCTGGAAGCACTTTTGTAGCTCCGTACGACGTACGTCCTTGGCAGCGAAAGGGTTAAAGGGATGAATAGAAAAAGAAACTCTCATGGCGCATGATGATGAATTTATTAAAAGTAGCAACTTACAGTAAAAACTTTCAAATTCATCCGGCCAGACAAATGGAGATCTTCTTTTAGCGAACACAATGCCGCGCACTCCACATGCCAAACAGCCCCCCCCCCCCCTCAGACTGACTGAGACAGCCAGGCCACTGCCATTAGCAAGAGGGGGGCCGGCAGCGCGGCGCGCCGCGTCTCTTGTCATGGCGGCATTGGGACAGAACTGTGTTACGTTTTTAGTATTTCGCATACAGCACATTGTACACTTTTTTTTTTTGTCTCTTCAATCTCCAGGGTGAAACCATAGACAGCATTGAGAAGCATGTTTTGAATGCCACCGACTACGTAGGAAAAGGCAGAAAGGAGCTGGAGCAGGCGGTGAAGAACAAACACAAAGCCCGCAAGGTGAGCCGGATCGTCCCGTCACAATTTCCTCTCTTTTTGTATTAAAGGAGAACTATGGGGGTTAAGGCTTTTCCCCGTAGTTCTCCTTAGGGTAAAGGTCCCCACACACCTTACGATTATGTTTCCACCTTTTTCAGCAAAAGCGTGATCGTGACTGCAATGGAAATTGGTCAACAGCGCTTCACACGCTGCACGTTCACATCAGTCCCCGCCCTCAAGGAACTTACAGTCTATGGTCCCTATTAGGCATGCACCGATACCGGTATTTTGGTACCGAGTACGAGTAGCGATCATTTTTTTTCCGTACTCGCCGATTACCGAGTACCGGAAGTCCCATCCAGGAAGCCACGTGGCGTGTAATGACTCGCCACCCGGCTTCCCCATTAACAAGAAAGCCGTCCCATACCAATCCCCATAATAATCATATGATCAGTGCTGATCTCTGTCCCCTCTCACCTCGGCATGTCCAGCCAGGAGCGGTCTTCTTCCGGTACCCAGCCGGAGCCGTCTTGCTGGCCAATCGTGTTATGACGTGGCGCCCTGCTTTTGTGATTGGCCGGGAGGCCGGCTCCATGAGATGACGAGGGAGCATGAAGCCGGCTTTCCGGCCAATCGGAATGCCTCATCACAAGTGACGGGGGAGCATGGAGCCGCTTCCCGGCCAATCAGGAAACCGGGCAGCGTGTAATGACGTGCTGCCTGGCTTCCTGGTACAGGAAGTACTCGTGCTAGGCATCGGAGCATTTGGGCGAGTACTCACCCAAATACTCGGTATCGGCACCTATACTAGTATCGGTATCGGTACATCCCTAGTCCCTATCTCGTATACAAGGCCGATTTGGACAGCAGCCAATTAACCTTCCAGCATGTCTTTGGAGCGTGTAAGGGAAACCGGAGTACCCGGAGGAAACGCAATGCAAGCACAGGGAGAACATGCAAACTCCATGCAGATAAGTGTCCTGGCTGACATTTAACCCTTTCACTGCCGCCACCGTATTGGAAGATGATGGCAGCAGCGGGGCCCTGTGGGCAGACTCTCCTAGCTGCTATAGTCAACCGTCCGCTTCACACTGGAAGTGATTTAGGCCATTGTGTTTCCTGGGCTCTGCTGCCCCTCCTGCAGGACCGGCATGGCGGATGTGGGCTGCTAGATGAGAGGGAGAGCCGGCGAACATGCATCCATCGCTGGTCTCCCCCTCTATTACCTGACTATGGTTTTGTCACTTCCGGGTTCAGCTCTGCCATTCCATAACTGATGAGGATGAGGCTGAACAAGTACGATTTAGCTTTGTTGAAGTGTAAAGGTGACGTAACGGGTCTAAGGTGTCCTAAAGAGAACCTGTCGCAACCAAAGTTAAATTAAATGTACAGCAGAAGTCAATCTTGAGGGCTTGTTCACACCGAATGCGGTGCGTTGCAGGGCATTAGCTGCTGGAACGCAACTCAATTTGTAAAGAAAGAAGGGAAGAAGATGGGAGGGGGCGGGGGGGGGGGGACCAGGGAAGGGAAAACATAAGCAGATGAAACTTTGTAGCTTTAAATACAGGAAATAAATATAAAGTCTGATGAGTCACAGAAGTGAAGTTTCCGGGTTCTCTAGTATTCCGTACCACTGCGGGTCACACGGCCCCTGAAATCCCGGGGAAGTCTGTCATGTATGACAGAGCACGTCATATATGTAATGCTAAAAAACAGGAAATTGCATGAGAGCGGCCCGGACAGGAAGGGGAAACCATGATTTGTTTTCACTTCAGATACATCCTGAGAGCTGTTATGGAATCTTAATCTGAAAACGGGGATTTCTCATGTCGGGGGCAGAAGTCTGAATCTCAAGTTTAATCTGCTCATGTTTTGTCTCCCCCCCTCCCCCCACCATCCAGCCTTATTTTATTCCAAGTCACGTCATCACTGGGTCTCTGTGCTTATTTATGCCCCCTCCTGTAATATAGACCGGTCACTGCTGCTCTCAACTTGTGCAGGGTGACTGGTCTTGTCCTCTCCCCATCCAGTAATGAAGACCGGTCACTGCTGCTCTCCCTCCTTGTGCAGGGTGACGGGTCTTGTCTCCGCCCCCTCCTGTAATAAAGACCGGTCACTGCCGCTCTCCCTCCTTGTGCAGGGTGACGGGTCTTGTCTCCGCCCCCTCCTGTAATAAAGACCGGTCACTGCCGCTCTCCCTCCTTGTGCAGGGTGACGGGTCTTGTCTCCGCCCCCTCCTGTAATAAAGACCGGTCACTGCCGCTCTCCCTCCTTGTGCAGGGTGACGGGTCTTGTCTCCGCCCCCTCCTGTAATAAAGACCGGTCACTGCCGCTCTCCCTCCTTGTGCAGGGTGACGGGTCTTGTCTCCGCCCCCTTCTGTAATATAGACCGGTCACTGCCGCTCTCAACTTGTGCAGGGTGACTGTTCTTGTCTCCGCCCCCTCCTGTAATATAGACCGGTCACTGCCGCTCTCTCCTTGTGCAGGGTGACTGGTCTTGTCTCCGCCCCCTCCTGTAATATAGACCGGTCACTGCCGCTCTCTCCTTGTGCAGGGTGACTGGTCTTGTCTCCGCCCCCTCCTATAATAAAGACCGGTCACTGCCGCTCTCTCCTTGTGCAGGGTGACGGGTCTTGTCTCCGCCCCCTCCTGTAATAAAGACCGGTCACTGCCGCTCTCACCTTGGGCAGGGTGACAGGTCTTGCCTCCGCCCCCGCCTATAATAAAGACCGCTCACTGCCGCTCTCAACTTGCGCAGGGTGACTGGTCTTGTCTCCGCCCCCTCCTGTAGTGGGTGGAGCCTGCTTTGTCCCTCCCACAGTTCTGCCTTCTGCACAGCACAGAGATGATGTCACCGCCACATTTATATGGTAATATCTGGGTTTGGCGCACACAAAGCGGATGAAAGTCTCTGTGCTCGGAGCTGAGAAGATTGTCGGAGATTTTGGTGATTTACGTTCTTCCTTTCCTTCCCTCCTTGCAGAAAAAGGTGTACATCGCCATCTGCGTGGCCGTCCTGGTCATCGTCCTGGTCATCATAATCACCGTGTCTGTCATGAGCTGAGCAAGCCCTTGTGGAGGATCAAACTTGGCGACCCCCCCCACCACCACCACCCTTTTGTTCCCGCCCCCTCATCTTTCACTGAGCTGAAGCTCCGCCCCCCACCCACTACCGTCCTGAACCTGGCACTGAAGCGGTTAATCCGAACACTATAAGGGGGGTCAGGCCGGTGGGGTGACCACGCTCCCGCGGTGCTGTATTCCTGTCACTTGTGTGTGCGCGCGTTTTTTGTTGTATTTTGTTGTTTTTAACTCCGAGTGCCTTATTTCTGCTGCTAACAGGCGGCCTTGCGACCGACCGCGTCACCACGACCCGGCGCTGTATTCATCGCAGAGGGGAAGGCCGCCATATTTCTTCAGACGTTATCGGTCGCAAGGCCCAGAGGGCTTCCTGGAAATCTGTAGCTTTCTATCCTTTTAGCTGCGGCGTGCCCCTGCGGTTATTTACATAGTTGTGTATAGGGGCGGCCTGGCATGTATGTACGTCGTGGTATCACCGCGTGTGTATATACGTCGTGGTATCACCGCGTGTGTATATACGTCGTGGTATCACCGCGTGTGTATATACGTCGTGGTATCGCCGCGTGTGTATATACGTCGCGGTATCGCCGCGTGTGTATATACGTCGCGGTATCGCCGCGTGTGTATATACGTCGCGGTATCGCCGCGTGTGTATATACGTCGCGGTATCGCCGCGTGTGTATATACGTCGCGGTATCGCCGCGTGTGTATATACGTCGCCCCGGTAATGCTGCGTGTGTATATACGTCGTGGTATCGCCGCGTGTGTATATACGTCGCGGTATCGCAGCGTGTGTATATACGTCGCGGTATCGCCGCGTGTGTATATACGTCGCCCCGGTAATGCCGCGTATACCTGGCGGCTTCTGTTGTATTGCTCAGGTATTGGCTTCCTTTTTTCGTAGTATTAGACCCCCTTCGTGGGGAGATTTCCCCCAACTTCCTGTTTTCCTGTGTCAGGGGAAGTCTCTCCGAGGGGGACAAAAGCAAGGAAAGGTTAAGACCTCCTGTCAAGTGTTTTTCTATAGCTGTCTGCATTAATTCCAATCACATCCTGTTTGGTCACAAGGACAGGAAGTGAGGGGAAATCTCCCTAATGGACCGGCCTGACCGTTCAGCGAACAGTCCTTCCCCCTCCGCAACTGCCGGCGTTTACGATGCGGTACACAGCACCGCAGCCGTGCATTCAGCATTTCAAATGACGCTTGCAAACGGCGACCTGACCAATGCGAAGCGCTCTTTTATCAAATTCGGCTGGGAAAACGGAATTACCCTTTAAGGCTCCCACATCACCAATCTGTCGCTGTGTTGCAGAGATTCGGCTGATTGGAGAATCGTTTAGAATCAGACACTTCCTGGGGTGTCAGATTCCTGGTCCTCAACTCCCCCCCCCCCCCCCCACGT